GTCTACTATATATTCAATGAAGGCTTGATGAGTGGTGATGAGTAAGGAGTGAATGTGTTAGACATTCGGGGTGAAATCTTCCAAAGTCATTAGGAAATATGGCACTGGAGTTTGAGTAATCATAGTAAGAGAAGGTGAGCTTTAGCCCACAGAAGGGCACACACCCATCCAGCCTCGAGATTGGTGCTGTTGATTTACCTAACTGAGGAGGAGGCAGGGTGGCAGTTTCTGTTGGTACAGGTAGGAATGTGAAGTGTGGGCGTTTCAAAGCACTGCCTGTTTTGAATGGAAGAAGGTGACAAATAATATCCCCTTTTGTGTTGCCTGCTCTTGAATTGTTTGTCCACAATGATGGCTATATCCTTGGGTTTTCCTCTTCTTCATAACAAAATAATACATTCTTCCATTTTTTTTCACCCTTTATTGGTTTCTCCTTCAGAAGTCTTAAGTCATGTATTGTGCAATCTTGTAACTAATCAACATTTTTCCCCCATTTCCAGTTTTACATAGTTTACGAGTAAGCTACGGGAATGAAGCCTACGGTGAATATCCCGTGGGTTGCTTGGGTGGGTGATCAATTTGTTTTCTGCTGTGCTGGGAATGAAACTCGGGGCACTTGATTGTCAGGCCCTCTAACATTGAGCTACAAGCCCAGCCATATCCCATTTTTATCCTTTTACCCAGTCCAGTTTCAAGGGAAAAATACATATATGCATACACACATACGCACGCGCACACACACACACACACACACACACACACACACACACACACACACACACACACACACAAACTAATCCAAGCTGATTACCCACCAATCAGCTCCTGAATGTGCCGCTCTTCCTCCTGACTCAGCCACGGTACAGAATGACACATTGTAAGTCTACTTACTGTACAGTAAGCTACATTCCAAAGGTGTGTGCCCGAGGAAAAGAAATCAGGGCCCTCCTTTTTCTCCCTCAAACAACCTTCAAATTTTGAGTAATAGTTTCAGGTAAAACATTCTCAGCAAGGGTTTGTGTCCAGGGTTTCTGTATAGTTAAATGAGCCAGTGGTGTGGTTTCATAATTGCTGTATTGTTAGTCAAACGCTGTAATTAGGGATGACTTCATAGGCATAAGATTCTTCTATGGGTGACGCCCTGAATTCGTACCCAGTTGTACACCATATCCTTTTATGAAAAAAACAAACAAACAAGGGTTTGTTTGCTTTTTTTTTATTCCCTGAGTTGAAAATCTGTTTTCCTGTGTCTCAGATGTTTAGGAAAGAGGGATTGCTTTTTCTGTTTTTTTTAAATTCCCGGCTGCTTTCTCTGTACAGAAGAATCAGGCAGATGGAGCAAGGAAAAAAAAAAAAAACAGAACCCAGGCAGAACAAAGGGCTTTGCTGACTAGAGACCCTGGGAGTTTTTATCCGTGACTAGTATTTCATTTGCTGAAATGAAATGGAGGGAAATAGTTCTGTTCTTTGAATATTAGTTCTCTTTCATTTCATGTAAACCAAGTTCACTTTTGTGGTAAGACAGACTTCGGGGGCAAAAGAAAGACATTACAAAGAGCCTTTTCCCTGTCAATCATACATTATGAAACTGGTTTAAATTTGAATCTTAATCTTACCTCTTTAACATTTCCTTTGCCTTATTGCTCAAGAGAAAATATGCAAATGAGGAGGAATGTGACCATATTAACAAGCTGTGGATGATTTTGAAATATTTAAACTAAAATTACTTTTATTTTTTAAAATGTATCACTTGACTGCACTTGAAGTTCCGTAAAGAAGTTGGCCTTATGAAAGAGCCAAATTGAGTCATAGGTAAAATGTGACTGACAGGTTTTCTTTAGGCCCGTCCTTCTTAAACAACCCTGACTGAAGGCTTGTAATTTTTATATATGAGGGAGGCTTGTTATACTCCGTAGTCAATAATTAGAGGGGAGATGAGACAGCTCTTCATGTATCCCATTTACAAAGCTCTTAGTAGACTGATGCCTAATATTTATGGTCCCTCACAATGACTTCTGGAGTTAGTTATTCCCGCTTTTCTTTCACTGAGGATTTGAAGTTGCTGTCTAATGCTTTGTAGTTTATAATGTGCCTTCACATACGTCATCTTTAATCTTTAGGAGGATCCCCGGGAAACAGGTGTTATTAGTGCTGTGTGCAAATGAGAAGCTGAGGCTCACAGAGATGAAATAAACTTACTCATGGACGTACAGTTAGGAAGCAGCAGAACCAGGGTACTGATTGATGTCCTCTCATTGCATGCCCAGTGAGAATATACTATGTCATTGGGCAAAAAGCTACCACTGGGCATGCCTAGTGTTCAAAAACTATTCAGAGGCAGCAATGATATCAATTTTTTCTGTTTCGCGTGTGAACCAGTCTGGGATGCTTTTAGTTTCTTTGGGAGAACCTGTATGACATAGTAAAAGATAAAGAAAAAAATTGAAATAATTTCAATGAGATCTAAGCATTTCCTAATTCTATAGGAAGAATAAAAGAACTGTTTCCCTGGCCTTCCTGAGAAAACACGAATCCTTAAAGTCTCCCGAGCCTGCAGGCTTCTTCAAAATGGATATCTATACCTTTCATTGAAGGCACTAATTCCTTGTCATGTTGTAATTATTTGGTTGCCTCCCGAGATTGTAAATTCTTCAAAGGCAAAAACTGGGCCTGTAATAGATACTGAAAATATGGTGTAAGGCTGAGACTGGAGAGATGGCTCAGCAGTCAGGAGCACAGAACGCTCTTCCAGAAGCCTAGAGTTCTATTCCCAGCACCCATGTTGGCGGTGCACAACTGCATATACCTACAGTTCCAGGAGACTAACACCTTCTTCTAGCCTCCACAGGTACTGCACACACATGCACTCGAGCATGTGTGCGCGCGCGCGCACACACACACACACACACACACACACACACACACACACACACACACACTTCAAAAAGAATAATAAGATATTTTTAAAATATAGTGTGAGGGTAAAATGGGGACTGAAAGGCTTTGAAAAGGAAGGAAGTGGGACAGAAGTATGGACATTCCTGTCATCTGGAATAAGGATAGTGAGCGTGGGTAGTTTATGTCCAGGCTTAACTCTTCTAATTTTCTTTGTGATTTTTTTTTAAACAGAAATGCTATGTAATGTATGAATGAAATAAGTTGTGTAAGGTTTTGTTGTTGCTTGGAATTTTTTACTTACATATTTTAAATTATTACTGCTTCAAATTACCCAAACTAGAAAGGGCCTTAAGAAATAGAGGTCAAGCCAAATGTTTTACGTTTTCTCACTCCCAAGCTTTTTGTGCCATTGTTCTATACATATAATTCATGGAAATGGGTAATAACTTTCATTAAAACCATGATTGGCTTGGCATGGTAGCCTAAGCCTGTAACTGTAGTATGATACAGTGTAGAAGTGAGAGACTTGCCCAACGTTTGAGGTCAGTCAAGTCTACATAGAGAGGTCGAGTCCAGCTACAGAATGAGACAACAATTCACAACAAACCTTAATGATTGCTTAAAATATATGGAAACGAAATTATAATTAATCTTATTTGGTATTTTTGTGATTAGCACTGTTAAACATCTTTTTTATGCTACATAGAATAAATTTAGATTTAATACCACAGGATTATAGCTTAATTTTTAAAATAACTTTATTATTTTTAAACAAAGTTGCTACTTATTTGTGTCAAGAGTGTTACTGGGGATATTTATTTCTTTTTCTGAAAGCACTTTTTTCACTTTCAAGTTCATAATTTAATTGTATCATTTTCCTCTTTCTTTCCTCTCTCAAATCCTCCTATGCCCCTCCCACATGCACCCTCAAATCATGGCCTCTTCCTTTTTCTCTTCTTTATTATTGTGTTTATACAAATATATTTAAATTATAAATTTTAAAAATATTTTAAATTATATCTACTCTATAATATTAACAATTTAATATAGCATATGTATATTACCATATACTTGTGTGGATTCTATATCAAACCCAAATATATTTGTCTTATCTCTCCTTTAAGAAGAGTGATTGATACCGATGGTGGTGGCACACGCCTTTAATCCCAGCACTCAAGAGACAGAGGCAGGTGGATCTCTGTGAGTTCAAGGCCAGCCTGGTCTACAGAGCGAGATCCAGGACAGGCACCAAAACTACACAGAAAAACCCTGTCTTAAACAAAACAAACAAACAAACAAACAAAGAGTGATTGAAAGCCAGCAGTGGCTGTGTACACCCTTAATCCCAGCACTCAGGGAGCAGAGACAGGTGGGTTTCTGTGAGTTCGAGGCCAGCCTGGTCTACAGTGAGATCCAGGACAGGCTCCAAAACTACACAGAGAAACCCTGTCTCGAAAAACAAAAACAACAACAAAAAAGTGATTAATAGATATCAGTATGTTGTTTAAAATTAGTGACTTATTTTCCAGGAATTGTTAGCCGAGTGGTTTTGACCTTCACTTTGGCACAAAAAGCCAAGATTCTGTTATACATCACTTTCTTGTTGTACCTTGATCCTTACTTATACTCTTTTAATGTAGCTTAAGATTTTATCCTTAGGAGGACAAAGTTGCCACCAAGTGAGACCTGAGTTCAACTTCTGGGATCCACATGATGAAGAAAGAATCTATGCCAGTAGTTATCATCTGACTTCTACTTGCCCACTATGATGCGTGTGTGTGTGTGTGTGTGTGTGTGTGTGTGTGTGTGTGTATGTGTGTGTGCGCGCACACACACACACATACACAATGGATAAATGTAATTTTTAAAACATTTAAACTTTATCCTTAAAAAGATAGAGTCAGACTTTTTTTTACTGTATAGCTTTTGATAAATGAGGATTTGTCACCTGTTTATTTTCTTTATTTTAGGCATATATGGCCACCTATTCAGATTGTTTTAGTAGTTTACAAGCCTACTTAGTGTGTTTGTAATCTAGCAAGGATGCTAATGTTATGTATTCACCAACTTTTTTGAAGACTGAACTATTTGCTTTCCTTTAGATCTTTACATGGATGACATGGCAACCACTCAGATTTCCAAAGATGAACTTGATGAACTCAAAGAGGCCTTTGCGAAAGTTGGTGAGTGCATTGTATGCTATAACCACAGGAAAGGCACTTTTATTTGGTCTTAATGTTATGTCTCTAGAAATTGTCATGAATCAGCCTTAGCCTGAGCAACATAGTGAAACTGACTTCAAAAATTAGATGTATCAAGTTTTAGAAGTTAGAGTGACATTTTCTAGTAAAAGGGGGACCTGTAGGGCCCTGGCCCCCATTTTGGGTAACTGTTGCCTTGCTTGTGGACCTTAACCTTGATATTCTCCCTATGCTAATTCCCTGTTGGGTTCCACCCTCCTGAATGCTTAAGGGAAGTTCCTTGTCTGTGTATCCTGCATAATGGGCGTTAACAGCTTAGATGCAAGATTGTAAAACACCTATAGCAAACTTCTGCCCTCTGGGGTTCTCCCATTGTGCTGTAAGCCTGTATTTAAGACCTCTTCCCTCCTTCAATAAACAGCATTTGGCAAAAAAAAAAAAAAAATAATAAAAGATTTAAAAAAAGAGGTTAGAATGAAAATTGTATTATTTCGGGCAGGCATTGCTCATCAGTTAATGGTACTTACCTGAATTCAGTCCTGCAGTCCCACATGGTGGAAGGAGGGATCTAATTCCTTCAAGTTGTCCCCTGACTGCAGAGAGAGAGAGAGAGAGAGAGAGAGAGAGAGAGAGAGAGAGAGAGAGAGAGAGAGAGAAATCATAAATTTTATTAGTATTTCTATATGAGCACTGTGTTTATATCATTTCCAGTCCCCCTTCTTTCTCCTCCAACTCCTTCCATGTCCCCCACACTCCCTCTCAAATTCATGACTTCGTCTTCTCTATTATTGTTGTGTATATATATACATTTTTAATTTTTAAAATATTTTAATTCCATCTAGTATTTAATATGGTCAAGCATTTTTCCCCCAGAACTCTAGTCATTACATAGGGACTGCTGTGTCATTTGTTGTGTTGTTAGAATATTTTGAATATCACGTTTGTCTTTTTGTGTTGAACAGGGTTTCTCTGTGTGCCCTTGGCAGTCTTGGAACTCTCTCTGTAGACCAGGTTGGCCTTGAACTCACAGAGATCCACCTGCTTCTGCCTCACTAGTTCTGGAACTAAAGGAGTATGTCACCACACCCAGTTGGAATATCCTGTTTTTCTGAGATGAGCGTTTGGAGTGAACATTGAAGCATTAGATGGAATTCACCATTCCTGTGGTGTTTATTTATTGAGAAAGGAGTCTCATTCTGTATCCTACCTAGGCTAGCCAACCTTGAACTCACTATGTATACTATTCATCTTTATAACAATAAGTAAAAGTATAGAATCAACCGAAGTGGCAAAGGCATATTGTGACAGCATTGTTTCCCCATGGAAAAGGGTACTGAACCCAGAACCTCATGCATGGCAGGCAAGTACTCTACTACTGAGCTACATCCTCAGCCATTTATATTTTGAAACAAGCTTACTGAGCTGTTCAGGCTGATCCAAACTTGTGATCCTCTTACCTTCCCAAGGAGTTAGAATTATAAGCATGTACCAACACACATGGCTTGTTTTCCTTTTTGTATATTTTTTTGTGTACATATATACTAAACAAACTATGTTCCCAGATCCTTTTTCACTTTTTATTTTGAGACAAGGTCTCAATAAGGTGCTCAGACTGGCCTTGAACTTACTCGAAAGCTTAACCAGGTCTTGAATTTGGTATCCATCCTTCTTTTCAGCTTCCTTAGCAGCTGAGGTTACAGACCTCCACCACCAGGCCTGTTTTATTTATCTTTTAACATCATGTCGCATGCCTTACAGAAGAGCAGCAATGGAAGCAATATATAGTGTTTACATTCTATGTGAAGGTCAAGTGATAAAAGATAAAGTGGTTAAAAGATAAAGTGAAATGGAATGAGAACTAACTACATGTATACTCACATGAAGTAGCATGTGCTTAAGCATTGGTTCTCAAACTGTGGGTCATGACCCCTTTGGAAACCATCTATCTCCAAAAAATGTTTACATTACAATTCATAACAGTAGCAAAATTCCATTTATGAAATAGCAAGGGAAGTAATTTTATGATTCTGGTCACCACAACCTGTGGAACTGTATTAAAGGATTGCAGCATTAGGAAGGTTGAGGACTGCTGGCTTAAGGTAAGCTATGTCCTTTTAACATTGCCTGAACTAAAGGGAGTGAAGGTAGAGCATAATGGTCTATTATTTAAATCAGATTTGCTCTTAAACTTATGCTACAAATCCCATTAATATAAAAGGAAAAAGAATATCTATCTCTGTTCCCTGTTGATTGATTGATTCATTCATTTATTCTCATTTTTTTGAGACAAAGATTCTTCTAGTCCAGGTTTGTCTCAAAATTCACTCCAAATAGCCTATGAAGACTTCAAACTCCGAATCTCCTTCCTCCAGCTCCCTAGTGCTGGGATTACAGATATTACCACACCAAGCTTAATGTGGTGCTGGGGATTGAACTCAGGTCTTTGTGCAGGCTAGGCAAACTCTCTACCTACTCAATTACATCCCTAGTCCATGATCCACATTTTCTATAAAAGCGTTTATATTAATAGAAACAGCATACCTTGGAAAGAATAATAACGCCTAGCTAAAATGATTATTCATATCCTGTCATATGTCTAGATAGAAAAGGTTAAATTGTTCTGAATTTTAATTTTATATGTGTATATTTTACAAAGCAATAAATTAACTTGCTGTAGATATGACTCACTGGGAGAAATGAAGTACATAGTCAGATATTCAACTGATGAAAATTAGCAAATGAGTTGTTGGTCATAAGAGATGGGATTATTTGGTTGTTAAATTTGTCTCCTGTCAATATTCATTAGGGTAGTTCTTATCATAATTATTTTAGGAATGTATTTCCGTGACCATTGTCTTTTGCTTACGTTCATCTTTCAGTGTTAGGAGCAGCATAGTTTGCTTATGATAGAGCATTAGAGTGGGACCCATGACTTATTAATGTTGCATTACTTAATTGCTATGCCTAGCCTCCTGAAAGAATTGCTTCTTGTTGAATACAGGACTTGACCTCATGTGTGGCCTCTTAGAAATATTTATGTTCACTGTTTGTTTTAGATTAACATTAATTCAAATGTGATTTACTTGATGGGACTTGGAGTACTTTTTATGAGTTATACACCTTTACTACTCTGTTAAGACACAATAATAGAAAGTTGACCAGTTATTGCCATTGTGGAAACAGGGTTAAATTTTATCCAGTAAGGGATCAATTAGAGAAGAGGTTCTCAACCTTCCTCATGCTGTGATCCTTTAATACAGTTCCTCATGTTGTGGTGACCCCCAACCTTAAAATTATTTTCATTGCTACTTCATAACTGTAATTTTGCTACTGTTACGAATTGTAGTACAAATATCTATGTTTTCCTATAGTCTTAGGCAACCCTTGTGAAAGGGTCATTGAACCCTCCACCCCCAGAGGGATCTCAACCCACAGACTGGAAACTGCTGAGTTAGAGGTTTGACTTCAAAGAAATCCATGACAACAACAAAACCCTACCACTGTGGAACTCTTTGCTTTGCATAGGCAGGAGGTGGGACTGTGAGGCTTAGTGAATCCCATACCAGGCACATGTTTCAGTATACCCCATCTTACTAACGTACAAGCTGTCAACTAGAATTCAGGCCAATATTTCTGCCTGTTCTGGATAGTACTCTTTTGTATTTCCCCCTCTAAATATCTAATGTAGTGTTGCATATGTGTTAGGTTCCCAATAAATATTTAATTACTTGAATCTGAAGGAACCATAAACAGTCTTTTGATGTACTGGGATTTTACAATTATACATTCAAAGGGTCTCTGTCATGAAGAATTTATTATGAAAGATTTTTTTGGCCATTACACTGAAACACATAGTGTCTGTCTGTCTGTCTGTCTGTCTGTCTGTTGGGGGAAGTATATGTGTGGTAAATGCTTGTGTAGAGTCTTTCCTTTCAGAAACTCATTGAAAAGATAACAGCTGGATCTTTGGATTTTCCTTCAAACTTCTTTGTAGTTTTTAGATGGTGCTAGTTACAGAGTCCTTGGGCAGCTGTCAAAGGTGTTGTGGGATTTATTTTTTCATTTGAGGATCCCTTATTTATTAAAAAAAAAAGGGGGGAACTCTAGAACTTATCTTCCTGGCAAGGATAATCATTTCCTACTTTGTGTGGTAGGGGAGAGTAAAGAAGACTGCTTTGTCTCACTTCAATTGTGACAAAATATGGAAATCATTTTCCTCATCTAGTAACAATAATAGCCTTGATTATCTGCTTAGAAATTCAGCAAAAATCACAGTGTGCAGAGAAAAATCTCTGTAATTACGACTAATCACAGGTTTTGTGCAATCAATTAATAGTGCTTTGAAACGCTCTTTACTAGCAATAAATTGAGTATTAGGATTTAAAGTTCTTTCACTCGCTTTTTGCACCTGCTTACTGTTAAGCTCTAATCACATGTAATTATTTTAATGATCTCAACAATTGTCTCAGTATTTCCCTCTGGGTCAGTGGAAACCTTAGTGTCCCCTCCCCCTCCACACAAAACCCGTTTCTGTTTTCATTTAAATGCTGCCATCCTGCATGACTATTTTTTTTTCTAGAGAGCATAAAGCTTGGCATGTTGGTGCCTGCTTGCAATCCTAGTGCTCTATAACCCTTGTACTAGCGTGGTTGAAGCAAGACGATCCCAACAGTACCAGGCTAGCCAAGGCTGGATAAGGAAACCCTGCCTCGAAAATATATTTTCAGGCTTGGTGGGTGGCACACACCTCTAATCCTACTACTTGGGAGGCAGAGGCAGGCACAGGAACATCTCTGTGAGTTCAAGGCCAGTTCTAGACAGAGAGTTTCAGGTCGGCCAGAACTACATAGTAAGACCCTGTCTCAAAAAACATAACATTAATGAATATATGATTTCATTCACTTACAAAGTGAATATTTACCAGATGATAGAAGATGTCTTTTATATTCTAAGATTTAATTTTGTATGATTGCTTACCTCCA